CCATCTGGCCTAGGTCATGAGTCCCGAGTTCAGCCCTTATATAAAGTCTAAACCTCAGCCAAAAAATTGAAAAGAAAATATTTTTTTCTTTTTTATTCAATAAAAAAACTAATTTATTTATATTAAAAGATCTCAAATCCTAAAACTAATTAAAGATCTCATAATGACTTGAAAAACGAGAAGATGAACAAAGAAAAAAACATATTATATAAAATACATTTTCTATTATATAATATATTATCAAGCCGGGCTCGGGCTCAGGCCGGGCTTTTTAAATTAAGTCAATATTTTGGAACCGAGCCCAAGCCCATAGGCCTAAATTCATGTCCAAGCCTGATTTAGAATGGACTAGATCAGGCTGGCCCGCCAGGTTACGCGGCCCATGAACAGATCTAATAAGAAGTGAAATATTACAAATTGAAAGGACTAAAAGGGTTAGGAAATGCTGCATTTGGCCTTCCATATTTTAAGGACTTGTTTCTTTTTTTGCAATTAAAATGTTTCTATCTACACTGAATTTTTAACTGCAATCAAATGCAGCTTAAAAAGGATAGGAGTGGAAGTATTACAAAATGATTTGAGTGTTCATAATTCAAAAATGGATACGACAGCAAATAAAAGGGAACGATAACAGGATTTATATAGCCAACCCCTCATAATTGTAACAAGATTTAGATAATAATAATAATAGTGATAACGATGATGACTGTTGAACGTAGCATACATCATTCACCATAACCTACGCTTGGAATGTCCATGGTACTGATGATATTTCTCACAAAACGACATTGCTAGAAGAATAATCAGCATTAACATTTGAGTGGGAAGGCAAGCTGGTTTGAGCAGTGAACCCCAAAGGCAGTATATGGTTTGATAGAAAATAAGAAAGAAACAGAAAATTGAGATAAAGTAAATTACAAATTTCATAAAATTCCTTATAAACTTCCCCTCACTAACCTTTTCTGTTGTGATCTTATTTTCCATCGAACCAAACATAGCCCAAGGAAAAAAAAAATCAGCTAAGTCATCATGCCACTTTATCAAAAGGAGCAGAAGAATCACATTGATACAAAGATCAATATATTATGTGGAAGTGTTGTAGGTGTGAGCTGGTTAATATAGAAGGGGCATAGTACAAATCAAATCTGTCAAATTGTCTGAGTGAGCATGCTAGTAGGCCTGTTCATGGGCCGGGTAGCCCGATGGCCTGGCCTGCACCCCGGTCGGGCTTGGTTATGTAATTAGGCCCACGGGCCTGACCTCGGTCCTAACACAGTAAGTCCGATTGTGTTTTGGGTCGGGTTCGAGATTTGTCAAAAAAGTCCGGCTTGACTCAGCATTATATATTTTATAAAATATATAATATGTATTTTATATATTATATAAAATATATAAATAATATAATATTTATTAAAATATATATTTATAATTTAATATATACATTTTTTATTCTCTCTCTCTCTCTCTCTCTATTTAGCCGCTTCAGCAGTAGTAGCAGTATGGGCTAAATTTCGGGCTTGGGCCCAGGCTCAGGCTTTAGGCCCAAGTTGTAGGCCCAATGGTCAGTCTGGGCTCGGGCTCGAGCTTGGGCCTTAAAAAAATCTGTTAATACAGAGTGAAAGCCCGGCTCGAGCCCAACCCATGAACAGGTTTACATGCCAAATGTGTGTGGTATAATTAGCAGTAATCTGAATGTTAAAATGGACATGATTCCCACTTTTGTTTCATTTGCATTTTGCTAGTCAGTCTAGATAAAGAGATGCTTTAAATAGGGTGGATTTGAGCCAAGTCGAGTCGAATAGTACCAGGCTTGAGCTCGAGCTCGGCTCGTTTTATATTTTATAAAAATATTTAGAAAAAATATTTTATAAAAATAAAATTTATATATAATTTTTTTTTATTTTATATTTAAAAATTAAGAATTATATTAATTAACAACTATAATATTTTTATTATATATATATATATATTTGAGTCGGCTCGCGAGCCTCACAAGCTGAGCTCTAGTAGGCTCGAGCTTGGCTCGTTTAGCTCGAGTTCGGCTGAAACCGAGCCGAGCTTAGCTTTTCACGAGCCAAGCTCGAACTAGAGTAAATTTTACACTCCCGTTCGATTTTACACGTGTGAGTTCGATTTTACACGTGTTTGGTAGAGGTGTACATTGAAAATCAATGAAAATTTTACATCGATAAAATTGATGTAAACTTTTCCTTCTCCGTCGAATGGTTATACGAAGAATCGAAGAGAGGGTAAGAAGACCAACTCTCCTCTAATCATGAGAAACCTCCTCCATCCAATGGTCTCCATCCAAAGAAGAGCTCATCGGCCATTAACATCCTATCACCAGCCGTTAACATACTCAGAGTGCGGGCTTATGGAGATGAAATCATTGTCATCGACAGAGAGCGGGCTCAAAGTCGACTCCATGGAGTTTCAGAGCATATCTCCTTCCAAACTGAGCCTAAGGCAAAGGGTTTGGGTTTCCTGCACTGAGGTCGTCTCTAGCCTTTAGGTTTATTTATTTAACAGACTGAACTACCTCACCTACAAACCTTCATCTCTAATCGTTAGAAAATATTTTCCAACTCTACCAGCTCCTCCTCAATCCCTCTCTGCCGCTCATTGCATTCTACTACTCGTTGTCGAAAATATTGAATCCTCTTGAGGCCTCTTGAAACTGCCTGCCCATCTCTACCATCCTTCCTTGCATTTGAGTATCCTATGATTCTTTCAACTTCTTCGTCAAGAATCGATACCCATCTAAGGATCTGAGGAGATTCTTTGAGAGAAGCTTGTTATGTTCTTGCAGCGCAACAGCGTTCCCTTCGTCGTCTCCTCTTCTACAGTTGCAATCTTATTTCTGGCAGCGCAAGCTTGGACCTTGGCCAATAACATATTGTTATGTGCTTTATCATCATTGAGGAACTCCTTTGTGTCTTTCAATTCGTGAACCTTTCGAGTAAGTTCCCCTGCTTCTATCTCCTTCTCCTTCCCCAAGCCTGAGAACATCCGTTCTAGGCTCTTCTGTGCTGCCATGCTCGCACTGAGTTTCGGAGTTTCAGAATAGAGTTTCACTCTTACATCGAAACAACCAAACGACATGAGAGAAGAATTCCAAAACACACCGGTTCAATTTTCCATCGATCACTAAACCGTGATCAAATTTTCCATCCGTGTAAATTTGAATTTACACCTCTACCAAATACAGCCTAAGCAAATAATCATGGGGAAATCGCCAGAGTAGAAGGTGGTGTTTGGTACTGTGGTAATTTTTTCGGGAATCATTTGTACTTTTATTTCCCCATCATTCATATAAGCATTTCAACCTTACCTGACTATTCTTCGTTTGGTTGGATTGTTTTAAACAATTCAGTTGTACGTCTCAGTTATGATTGTCCATTCATTTTCGGGATTTTGAAGGAAGGAAAATCAGTCAATGGGATTATAATTCTTATCGACCAATTTACAAATATTTTTATTTCAGAAACACGTGAAACCAACATCAAAATTGATTTTCCCAAATACCGGTTCTCATACTTAAGTTGAGTTTCCCAAATAAAGGCTGAATAAAAAGATTTAAATAGACAAGAAATGCCCCCACAAGATATATTTATCTGGATAAATTAAACCAAAAAAATAAACATTGGTAAATAGGTTCTCGAAAAAACAAATAGGGCCCAAGTGAAAACATTTTTTTTTTCTTTTGTGTGTGTTTTTTGCTCTAAGAAAGGGTTTTCACTTTTTAGTTCATATACTATATGATGCCAAATGTCACATAACTGAATTAAGTAACAATAAACGAATGAGGTTTATGTCTTATGTGCACAATCCAACAACTCTCCCAATTTCCAATATATCAGTCCAAGTACAAACGATTATTCTATGATATTGCTTTAGGAGATGAAAATGGAAACTTCGTTACTACAGAACTACAGAAGTATGGACAATGGAAAGTTGGTTCACCCATAAAGGGTTGAATCTTTTGTAGAAACTTTTGAACATGGAGAAAGCCATAATAGAAGCAAACCACATTTGCTACGTCAGTATCTTAGCGCTGCACTGTAACAAAGAAATCAAAATTTTTGATGGATTATCATGAATTGGGATTTGCTTCTCTCACACAAGAATGACCTTACAGGCACATCCCATCGTGTATTAGTTACATTACCCCTAAATAATAATACATAAATATGAAAGATATTCCCAATGCATGGTAGGATGTACCTGTGAGATCGATGTGAGGTGCTATGTATAAGGAGCAGATCCAGTCTCGATTACCATGGCCCCACCTTGAATCAGATGAAATAAACATCAGGTCTTGGTAGGTCTTGGTGGGGCCACTGTACTACATCGAACGTTATGATATTTGGTTTTAGCCCTGTGCCATGACACTGTCTAGCAAAAGTGAATTCAAAGATATAGCCATGCCAAGTGCCAACAGCTGATGTGGGCATTGATAGGGTTGTTCACAGGTCGGGTTAGGTTGGCTTGAGTCATCTTCTTCAACCGACCCGACATTGTCGGTTTACTTATTGACTAAACTAAAACCAACTGACTCTGAAGCAAAACCGTACCAAACATGAAGGGTCAGTTTGGATCGGCTATCGGTTTAGTCAATTTTTATATATATTTTAAACTAAAATATCTATCTATATTTAAATTTATTTCTCTTTAGTTTTTATGCAAAATCAAAATACATATTTAAATCTATTAGTTTTTTACGCAAAATTGATTTTTTTGTCAATATATATTTAAATTTATACAAAACTGAACTAAATATTGTACCATTGTATTATATTTGTACTGGTTTTATGTTTTTAGTTTTTATCATAAATAACCAATTTTTTTCAAAATTCAAACAAAACACAAATAAAATATATCAACATTTAACATATAGGATAAGGGCTAATTAATAATTACTTAAACGCAAAGGATAGTTTCATTTCGGTTTGGCTTCAGTACATGAAAACCAAAACTGAACTAAATTGCCAGTTTATTTTCTCATACAAAACAAAACGACCAGGTGAACACCGCTAGGCATTGAGGCAGCTAGATATAGCAATTGCTTGATGGAAAGTTTAGATCATCATAAAAAATGTTTTGAAACTATGAAAGGGTTGCTCCATCAGATTTTTTTTTTGTAGGTTGTGATAAAAACAAAGCTTCTCAGTGCTCACATAACTGTTAAACATGGTTTAAGGGATGTTGGTTTCTGTCTGTTTAAACCTCCAGCATGGCTTGAAAACATTCTTAGGGAGGATCTTTCCTTTCCTCTTGGCAGTTTGGTCTTTAGACTTTATGTAACATTTTTTTTTTATTTCCTGTTATTAGCAAGGAGTTGGGTCTTGACAAGATCAAATTTGCATCCAATGTTTCTCTTCATTGTAAAGGTTATGCACTAATCTTAGTAGTCATCAATCAAGTCCAAAACAAAATCAAATATACAATAGTCCACAATAGTGACATTGGCAAAACTGGGCAAACAAACTAGAATAAGAGATCCCATCCCATCCACAACATTGACAGACAATTGATATGGATTCTATGATGTTCAATAAATAGTGTGAATTAAATCCCATGCTCAATAACTCCTTCCCCAGTAAGTCCACTTCTTTGCAGGCTTCCCCGAGGCAAAGCAAAGGGTCCCTGCAAAAATGTAGTCGATCCAACTTCAGAATTTTTTACCGGAACAATGATCATAAAGATCAAAAGGAAAAATTAGATCAATCTTTTAAAAAGGTTTTATACAAGTTTATGAATCTTAAGAGAGGGCAGCCCATTAATCAGATGCTGCCATAGGATGATGCAATCAGTACCTTCAGGGAGTTCTGGCTGATCAAATGGGGAGCAGAGGGTCTTGGCTGCTCCCATCTCACCTTTTGTCCGTGCTTTCACATCTTTTTCTACTTCCTATAAGAAACAAAAACATAACAAATATTACAGATATCAAACATGATAGCTCAAATAAACAAATACTTTTTGGCATTCGTGGCTAAGCTTTTCACAGATAAACTAACCCCAGCTACCTCACTTTAACTGCTGTAAAAGCTTGTGAAAGGCATTCAGTTAGTTACTTGGTTCATATCTTAATTCCATTCTATAAACTTATTAGAGGGAAAATCCTTCCCCTCTTTTGAAACTATCAAGACTTTGAAAGAAGATTGGAAAACAACCATAACACACATATTCAATTAACATTAAAGAACATTACCAAAACAGCAAAAGACATGCCAAAGGGAAAAATCCTTCCCCCTTTTGAACCAATTAAGGCTTTAGAAAGATCAGAAAACAAGCATAATCACAGATAGTCACATATTCAATTACCATTAAAGAGCATCATCAAAACAGCAAAAACATGCCAAAGGGTCTGAATCCAGCCTACCCCCCCCCCCCCCAAGGCACTAGATAGCTGGGGCGAATATTGGGTAATGGCCTTTTTCTAGATTGTGACAGAATTTCTCAGCATTATGCATATATTCTCTTTTATTAACTTGTAGTAATCAATCCTGAGTGTAGAATGAATAAATCTAAAACTGGAAACTAGATTTTTCTGGGAGCTCTGAACCCAAAACAAACTGTATCATCTCAAAGGAGAAAGCCCCATGCTGTATCTGAAAGGGCATCTAGTTATACAAGCTCGAAACATGCCTCATTCAGCATATTTTTATATGCTAATAAAATTCTTGTCAGAATTTTAGATTTGAAAATTTAACAAGTGACTAACAAGAAAAGAAATCCATTCCACAAGCAAGACAGCCTTTCTACTTCATAGTATCGTTAGTAACTCATGTCCAAGATTCAAAGACCAACGATAGTATAAAACATCTCATATTAAAGGATAGATTTGTTTGGTGCACACTGATAAAGGGGACAAATGATACTGTACCTCCTCATCACACCAAGGAGCTAAGATCATTTTCTTTTGGTTAAGTGCTTCCATGAACTCATCCCACGTTTTTACAACCTTAACACAAGCGTCACGTTTTTTCTTTGCTGCATCAAATAGGCTTTGATGAATATCATCCAACATGTCCTTCACTTTCTCAACCAGATTGGCCATTGGTATGTCCACTTTTGCTGAATTATCACGGCGAACAGCACGCACCTGAATATAAAGTCAAGATATCTGTAATTCTTTCTATGAATTGACAACAGTGTTGCAGTGAAGATCAATAAACACCAAAAGTCAAACACTGGCTATTCAGAAAAAGTAGGTATTCTAACATGGCACCATAAAAGCAAATGTTCAGTTTTTATATTGAAATCATTGTTTTTGCCATAGCCCCCTCAGCTCCAAGTTCATTAACAAAAGTTATGTTTTTTCCTACCACGGAAGAGATAAACACAGTGAAATAAGAATGGCAAATCCTTTGGTTTTACCTGATTATTAGCCAAATCCTTTGGTCCAATTTCAATTCTCAGAGGAACACCTTTCATTTCCCAATGCGAGTACTTCCAACCAGGTGAGTAATTGTCCCTAAAATCTGCCTCAGCTCGAAAACCAGCTTCACTCAAGGTATTCACAGTTGCAGAGCAGGCATCAAATATAGCTTGTGTATTAGCATCTTTGTAAGGAACAGGAACCACAATAACTTGTAAGGATGCTACTTTAGGTGGCAGTACCAGTCCTTTGTCATCACCATGAACCATCACCATGACCCCAATCTATAATATGAAAAAAAAAAAGAAAATATATACATTAGTTAGATAATTGACCTAGTACTATATATCATTCCGTTCCGATATCAAAGATGTATACAAAATAGCGATCCTCACTATTTACTAAATCCAAGCACGATAGATAAAAAAAAAGGAAAAAAAGGACTTGGAATTCCAGCAGATACCTCAAAATTCTGTAGTGCAAATAAAAGCAAGAAACTTAAAGAACAAAACTTAAAACAAATTAAAGGTTCACAGAAATACACAAGGCAACAGGTAAACCAACCCTTACTCTACATGACATGCGTATCGGGTGTTTCGATACTATAAAACACTTTTTTTTTTGGCTCTGAAATTTTCACAGGGGGTCGGTTTTAAGGGTAATTGACACTTAAAAAATAACTACGTTTCTGTAAAATCCTTAAAGGTGTTTCGTTCAGCCACCAATACGGGGTGTAGCATATCAATACTTTGAAACTTGGATACTAGATGCCTATCTAGGGATATATGTGGTGCTTGGCACATTATCTTTGCATATATTCCCTTTTTTTTACAATAATTAGCAATGAAGTAGGCAGTTACCAACCAAAAAAATCATTGATGATGATATTTCATGGAACCAATAACAATGCCAGTATCATCAAGAGGTAAACTCATAATGATGATTGATCTAACACAGAAGAAACAAATGAGGTGGAGCACAAGACCAGCCATATAATTATATGACTAAATGATGAAGAAAGAATTTATGCATCCAAAAATGACCCTACAGCCAAGAGGTTATTGAGGCAAGGCAAAAGGTCAAAGACTGCATGCTACAGTTAACCTAAGCGTAGATACATTAGATACTATACACCCACAAACAAATGCTATCATGGTATTGCAAGATAGAGGAAAAACACAAATGCACAAACAAAGGAAAAGGAAAGTCCTATTTAAGCAATGTATTGCAGCTATAAGTTAATAAAATAAAATACTAATTCTCAGCATTAAACAGAACAGAATGGTGAAACAAGATTCATGCAGTCAACTCCATATAGTTGGGATAAGGTTTAGATTATGATGCTTATGGTGATGCAAGCCCTAGACTTTGCATGGTAATCTACCACTCCAGTTGCTCCCCTGGAATGAAGGGATCAAATGTCAATAATGAAGTAGCAAAGCAGGACAATCCCCAAGCCCTTGAACTCAGAAAATTACCTGACCAAACAACCCTGGTGGCATCTCAATAAGCACAAGGGAAAGATTTTTTTTTTTTATCAATAACAGTAAAACTTTATTAATGATGTGAAAATTTGTGAAGATTTAGATACAACAGGGGAGGTAAAAAGACTTAATTCCCCACAACAGAATACAAAGACAGAAGTTCAAAAATTAGCCCAGAATATACCAAGCACAAGGGAAAGATCCTCAACTCAGCAATGTCGCTTGTAGCTGAGAGTGGTTAATTTAGCAAAGGATGCCATAGTTATCAAGACATTGCCTATGCGGGCAGGGCACCCATGGAGGGTTGCCTTGCCTAGGCACCTAGGTAACAAGGTACCCCCTGTAGCATAGCCTTTCCTTGGTGCCTTGAAAACTATTTACATGACTGCTTTGCTAAGATATGGCCTTGGCACTAAAAACACCCAATTACTTGTGGAGCAAATTTCACAAAAATTTGCCTGTCATTCCAATTGAGAACAAAAATTAACAACTGAATTGTAAACAATATTGTTTTGGCTGTAAAGTATTGGGAACAAAGCTTTTAGAAACAGCCCAACATCATTTCCTGTCCTATTTCTAAGTAATGTCATTTCCTGTTTTTTTTTTCTGATAATTAATGTCATTTCCTGTTATTGAACAATAACCCATATTAACAAACATGGAAATTCCGTTTCTATTTTCAAAACTACTGAAAACGGAAACAATCTGCATCCCAAGCATATATTGTGGGTTGTACCTATGATATTTAAACAGTTTAGTCTATGCCGGACATGAATATACAAGCTACAACCTTCTGTATTAGTATAACAATGCTCTAACCAATTGAACAAATTGAGCTAACAGATTGTCTGAAATATTTTATTTCCTTCAGAATTTAGACTTGCATATTCTTGTATATTAATTTTTTTATTTTTTTAATTGTGGGCATCTCACTTCATCTTGGTGTATGCCTCACCTTGCACCTCAGGTTCCCATTGCACTTGTTAAATGTCTCACCTTTTTTTTGAAAAAGGGTAGTGTATGTACATTGTATTAAATGAAAAATCAAAAGTATACATGTATGCTCCCATGTACAAATAATTTCTCTACATTTTACACAATTAAGGACCCCCTGCCATACTCAAAAAGGGGATGAGAACTGCAAGGTGCCAACCAGCTGGTTGGTAAGGTCTCCTGCACCGCGGAGACTTGGGATCGAATCCCGCCTGCACCTGGGTTGGGGAGTTTGTGGCTTACGGGTTGGGGGATGGGCTACACCCCCCCCCCTCTTGTGTAGCCCTTCAAAATATATCAAAAAAAATGGGATGAGAAGTCATCTCCACTAAAACATGTTAAGAGTAGATAGCATGCTTTGCCTCACACAGACATCCCTTGAATTTGCCAACTAACAAAGCCTTCACCGATGCAGGAAAACATTCATAGACAGCAACAGCTTTACAGAAGTGCTGCCAAACTTTACAAGAGAATTTGGCAAACAGGAACAGATGATTTGATGACTCAAATCTCCCCATTACAAAGTAAGCACTCACGATCTGGAAAATTTGCTCCCTTTCTATCGAGAATCTCCTTGGTTAAACACCTTTCTGGCACTATCACCCATGTAAAAAATTTAACCTTTGATCAAAGTTAAATATCCAGACCCAATGCAACTCCATCATGCATTTATGGTAGGCCGGCACTCCACTTGAGGGTTTTATAAGTTATAATCAAAGAACATCCTTTGATTAAACTCTATCTTTATCTCTTTTTTTATCAATAATCGAAATTTCCATAAAAACAGGTACATTAAGGCATGTACAATAGCTGAACTGTGAGAGATAACCCCTCTTATCTCTCCCCGATTGCAATTACTTCAGAAAACTTTAATTACAGTTGAGTCCAAAAGAGTTGAGATATACCTGGCCCTTGTCAAGCAAGAGTGTCAGCAAATGAATTTGCACTTCTCTTTACCCACTGTACTCTCACCTCCATATCTTGTATTAACCCTTCAATCTTTTTCTTTCCATTATTATACACCCAGTGACTCTGTTCTTTATCTTGCAGCCAGTTCACTACCAGTTTTGAATCTCCCTCTATTATCAACTTCTTAGAATTGATAGAAACTGCTCTTTGTATTCCTTCCACCACTGCCAATATTTCAGCCCATAGAGAATCTCCTTCGTCAATTGGTCCTGAGTATAGAGCTACCACTTTCCCAATTTCATCCCAGAAAACTCCTATTCTAGAAACACCTGGGTTACCCAAACAGCTCCCATCAAAATTAAATTTGATAAAACCTCTCTCTGTAGGGGTCCAGCTAGCTGTAGTGAGTGCTTTAGCAGGAGTTGAATCAGCCACCACTTTCCAATTGAGCATGATGTCATCTACTGAGAATGAGGAGAAGAGATCCATGGTCTTCAACCAATGAGCCACTTTGATCATGATGTTATCAATAAATATCAGTTTTTTTTTTATCAATAACACTTTCATTAACTCATCAAAAGAAGATTTACAATAGGAAGACAAACACACTTATCTTCCAAGAGCAACAAAGAACCTCAAGAAAAGAAGAAAAGAAAGAAAACACACTATCGTTACGGCTTAGCCCAAAAAAGTGAATCCCTTTCTGCCCCTTGTTTAGCTAAACCGTTAGCTAGGGAATTAGCCGATCTTTTAACCCAAAGTATCTTAACTTCCATCTCCCGCAC